TAGCTTCGCTCCGGAGCCTCTCCAGTTGTGGCACGATGCAGAGAGGGGGGGGGGACGGGACACTGATGTTCCATCGCTCAGCAGAGATGTCAGCGTTGACCCTTACGGCTAATTTTGATCGCTCCCGACTCATCTGAGAGATTCTCGTGAAACTTTGATCTGCATATTCACAATCAGCATTGAAGACTATCGATGTGTTTATGTTTTCATTGAGTTCCATGGGAATTTGACACTTACCCTGTGTAAAGCACCCCCACCCCCTTCCCTAACTCACGATGATGGTAGGACCGGAAACCCTTCAAATGCACTACAATATGAATTAAAAATGAATAAATGGAAGGAATATTGCGACCATTAGATGCATGTTTTCATTAGATGCATTACTTCTGGTTTCGGAGTTGAGAGATTTGTTGATGTAAGGGGTGTTAATACTATGAGAAATGCTAGAATATTATGGAGAAAACGGTTTGGAGGAAACATAAAAGAAAAGACAAATGTTCCAATCTGGCATTATTATAACAGGTAGAGGATCTACTGAGTTCACAGCACCAACTGAACAACTCAACTGGTTATCGCTAATCTTCTTTTTGAAATATAGAGACAGGATTGTATTTCTACATATTGGCAATCCTAATTTAGCACTACAGGTTCAGTTTCGTGATACAGACTTGCCATCCTTTTGTCACTTTCACTAGCAATTCCTGCAGCTCTACATTGACGTCACAAAAAAAGACTAATTTTTGGGTAATTCCATGGCCCGTAGTAATCATTTCTTTCGCTTGTTTTCTGTTCTCGTGAATGACTAGGGAAAATGTCCTACCACTGACAAGGGAAGGATGGTAGGTCGAAGTGGCCATTTGAAATGAGATGTATACCGGACTGAAGGTCTTTGGACGGGAATTACGAAACCGTCTTCCATATCTGGACCTCCCACAACAAAGTTATGGGACCTTTTTAGAGGGAGCATAGTGGCATTCAATACGAATTAGCGGCGTGAGGCTTCATCGCTCGAAGCAGCGTGGCCGAGTGGATACGTTGCAGGTCTCACGGTCACATTGTCGAGGGTTTGGATCCTTGATGCGTTTTCTGTTTTGCATTTTTTCTACAATGGTCTCTGTGCATTAAAAAGCATTTTTGCATAACTCTTGTGCTCGAGAATGCCGCCAAAGAATGTTTCTGAACTAATGGAGCCATTGTGGACAACTCCATGCAGAACATTCTTGGCTGTTGAATTTGTCACACGAGCCGACGACTTCCAGCAGGTGCGGAAGCACCACTGCGAAAGCGAAAGCACGGATACATAGAACATCTTTCAACACTGTGTGAGTGACGAATGAAGGTTCCTCCAATTATGATCTCCGCAAGATTGTCTCCTCAAAGCCACGTCGTGGGACCATTCGTGTGGAGAATGACGCCATTCTTCAAGGCAAACGCATTCGTTGGAGAGCATTCCTTTTGTACAAAATAAGCTCCTCGAAGCAATCAGAAATCAAGAGCAAAGAAGAATGGGCACTATTTACCCTTCACTGCCCCATCAACGAGAATCTGGCCAGTTTTGACTGACTTTTTTTTCCATGTGCAGAACATTTGTCCCCTGGGGTAGTTCAAGCTCCTGAATACCAGTTCCAGATCCGGTCTACCCGAAACTTTCTGGCGCTCGCTCCACGGGCTGGCGCCTAACACCAAATCAGCGGCGCCTTTGGCGCGGGCGCCAGGAGATATTCGGACAAGCGGATGCGTATTCAGGAGGTTAACCCCAGGAAACAACATTTGAGCCGAGCCTGTCCACGGAGAAAGAGCTCGGTCAAAAACTGACTCGGTTGGTTGGGGCAGTGTAGGGTAAATAAATAGTTTCCAAAGAATGTTTTCCATGGAATCGTATAAAATGGCTCCATTCGTTCAGAAACATTCTTTGGCGGCATTCTCGAGCACAAGAGTTATGCAAAAATGCTTTTTAATGCACAGAGACCATTGTAGAAAAAATGCAAAACAGAAAACGCATCAAGGATCCAAACCCTCGACAATGTGACCGTGAGACCTGCAACGTATCCACTCGGCCACGCTGCTTCGAGCGGTGAAGCCTCACGCCGCTAATTCGTATTGAATGCCACTATGCTTCCCCTAAACAGATCTCGTAACTTTGGGAGGTCCGCAGCAGATATGGAAGACGGTTTCGTAATCCCCGTCCAAAGACCCTTCAGTCGGTATACATCTCATTTCAAATGGCCACTTCGACCTACCATCCTTCCCTTGTGAGTCGACGAACGTGTGTCAGATTCACTCAGAAAGCATCATCTTCATAGCACATCATCACGCCAGCTGTCTTATCCCTTCATTTGTTCAAGCTGTTGGAATTCGATGCCATCGAATATCAGCACTTATCGTTAATTTCAATCCTCGTTCTAAGATAGTCAGTCAACCCGTTTTCAAACCACTTTTATGGCGATCATTCTGCTATCAACCAAATGATATGTGAGAACATTTCTCCGTGCTGTATTTTTAATTTCATATTCGCAAAATTGCAGCTGATTTTGATTGTCGAGAGAGGAGTGAGGAACATCGAAGCTGAACGAATGGGATTTCTTTCAGCTTCGACATTCTTCACTCCTCTCGAAGCTGGACGAATATGATCTTTCGACAATGTGATGGTTCAAACAAACAACAACCGCAGCCGTTTCCTTCTTTTCTCATTACATGGTCTGGATGCGATTGGATGAGCGTCGGATTTTCTGTAATGGAAAAATAAACACATACCAACTTATCTCCGTGAAACATCTCAAATGGCTGGTAAAGATTCAG